ACAGAGCAACGAACGAAGAGAAGATGGAACTATGTTGGTGTAGAAAAAAATTATGTGATAGCTTCGAAGTACAATTATGTGATGACTCGTCTTATTGATCCGTTAGCCAGTTAGCGATGTGCCTCAATTGGCTTTATTAATGAGAAATCATGATTAAAAATGAAAATCACCATAAAATTAAGGATTACATCACCAGGTCTAGAATACATGATTTAAACCAACAAAAATTGTAAAGTGATGATTTAAATGACATTTTTCTCAAATTAAAACCTACTTTCATCATATACTTCTCTTACGAATTCACTTCTATCCTTATTGGAGTATTCATGGGCCTTACGTCTAAAGGCCCATAACAAACCGATTAAAAAGCACAAAAGTTTTACCCATCAAAAACATTGAAATGGTTTCAAATATCTCGCAAGATCCATTGAAAAGGAGGAATCTGATTATATGAACCTAGTGCACAAAAAAAAAAAAAAAAAGATTATATGAACCTCATTTTGGTATAATCGATTTTGCAATTTATTACAACCCCAAAATTCTGAATGTTTTAGTCTATATATTCTCATCGACTTGGATACTAGAACAAATTAATTTAATTCCTTCATGCAGCGGTATTGTCCATGTTTATTCCCTAACTTTAATTTTATAAACGAGTTTAAATTAATCTAGTTCTTCTTTTCAAATCTATACACATGGATGTAACATAAGTAATCGATATTATAATGTTTTTTTTTTCCCATAAGGCGTTTATATAGACTTTTCTTACAACGGACCACTACTTCAGTTACCTTTTCACATTCTTATATTAATTTACACTGACGACTGCAAAAAAAAAGTCATCTCATCACCAAGTTTTGAAAACAGTACTCTAGTCTATACTAACAAAACTTTAAAAAGAATTCTAACTAAATTAATTATATACTACTAGGAGCAATTCAAATCAAGTAGACGAAACTCGTGATGATTGTGATCTGATCTGTCTATTGAACCGTTGGATGAATTCTTCGACTCGTTTGTTTAACTCCTCGTTGGACAATTTTGAAAACTCTTCAGATTCTTCTTTAACATTTTCCCACTTCTCCGGAATAACCATCCTTGTCGAGCAATCTGATTTCCTTCGACCATAACTTTTACGTTTGGTCGTCTCTGTACCTTCGCTGAGCCTCTTTCTCCGTGGCTTATCTGATCTACTTCGCCCGTACGGTTTATTAGGGTTCACATGGTTTCTTGCGTCACAAGCTTCTTCGCTAGCAACAGTTTGATCTGTAACCTGTTTGAAATTCTCGATAGCTAAAACGTCTCTCGGTTTCTCCTCGTTCACCACTGTCACTATTTTCTCGGGAGGATAAACGTAAACGATCTCTTTCACCATCGGTACTCCTTCTTCTTCTTCTTTAGGGTTCTTGATTTTTGCATCTCTAAGGTTTTCTCTCTGTCTTGAAACGGGAATCGGAGAGTAGTAATCAGCACGGCTTCTCATCGTTGCGGTGGCGGCTTTGTATTCACTGTAAAAGTCGTGACTCTCTTTATCAGAGAAGGCACCATAATCGGCGGCGATTATGAGGATGAGAGTATTGGAGATGAAGAACAAGACCTTTGTGTCTTTGAAGACCGAAGATGGTGATACTTCGAAAACGTAAAAGATCATAATGTATGTGAAGATCGATAAGAAGATGGTAAGCATCGAAGAAGTGTAATAACGTCGTTTCTTTGGCTTGTAAGGCTCGAACTTTGGGTTCTCGATCATGTATGAGGGCATTTCTGTCATTTTTACGTGTCAAGAAAGGAAATGCGAGATTGAGAGTTGTGGTTGTTTTGATCGTCTAAGGTGTAGTAGTCTTTATATAGAGGTCCATGGATATTAATCATTGAGTTAACGTAATGTCGAAATTGCCCTTGAAATATATATTATTGTATTGATGGAGTTTTGACACGATTCTAGATTTGTCGCGTCATGGTGATTTACGTGGAAACTAATGGGCACTCTCATATTTGAAACATCCTGGTAGGTGCCCGGCAATTCACATTTAGTAATTAATAGTATAGGATGCATATCTTGTCTACATGAGAAATTTTTTTTGTCTACATGAGAAATTACATTGTATACAAAATGTTATGATAAGATACAAAACTAAATTAATTTCTAGGAAACATAGATTGTCAAGGCATCGATCACGCTCGAGCATTGGTACAGCAGAATATCGACACATCATCATTGGACAACAACAGAATCAGATATATCCTTGATTTTATCTCATATAAAAATTAATTAATGTTATTTGTTGTTAGACCTCAGGTTGGTTCATAACTTTTGTGAAGTTGGAACAAAGAGAGCAATATTGTTCAACTGACATGATTTAAGGGAAAAAAAAAAAGACATGCATGTATAGCAGTATAGATCTAGATGTAACTGAAATACCTATTTCTATGAAAACAATAATCGCTTCTTCATTAGAAAAAAAAAATACATATATGAAATCAGTACTCACAAGAAAATTAACTGGACTTTAGCTAGGTAATATATTTTAGTTTCTTATGTCATACACATTTATTTATCATTATAGATATGTATAAATAGCTAACTATTCTTCCACGTACTACACGTCAAAGTGAGTTACCCATTTTTAATATTGAATCATCTTGTGATTCACTATCACTTTACGAATAAAATATATGGAAATCTGGTTCAATAGGATATATATCGTAACTTTCGATGATAATAACGTACCATATGATAGGTTTTTTATTACAAGTTTTGATGAAAATATCAATTATTCTTCTAAACACACACCTATAATATAAAACTTACAAACAATTTGTTAAACAAAAAAGTTTTTATTTGGAAAGTTTTACGTGATTCACTAAAAGGAATTCCAAGAAAAAGAAATTATCTTCTATAAATAATCCACCTTAGCACTTTTAGCATCAAATATTGCTAATTCAATATTCGACTAACATCTTGACTTTCCTTTTTTTGAACTTTGGTATTACAGTCACTTTCTCTAGATTATTGAGTTAATTAGTAATGAATAAATTTCTTATTACTCTAACCAACTTTTACCTAGTAGACTTTTCCAATAGTTCTTATCTAAGAAATCTAAACTTGAAGTTATTAGAATGTATAGTGACACAGTATTAGAGAAATCTGGACTATGGCGTAAATTCGTACATGATTGATGTTTCAACTTCTCCGGCAAATAAATTTATTGTACGTACCTCATTTGGTTGTTTATGTTTTGGTCTAGCCAATTAAATAATAACCTTAGTATATTTGCGGATAATTTCGAGGCAATTTGTTGTTCATCTCTAAAATTAGTTGACGACCGAACACTTAAGTATTTTGTTAGTTACCACAAGTTTAAGATAGTAGAACGCAATGTATAACACTTGCCACGTTGCAACTGCATCAGCAAGTTGGTTTGTCTTTTAGTAGTCCTATATATTTCAGTTCAATTTCTAGTCATCAACTTAGTCTTCCTTATAATTATTACTATAATAAGATATTTTCAATTGAGTCATAGTTTTATCATTTATGATTGACGTGGTAACGAAACGCATAAATACAAATATATAAAAGGTTTAAAAATATTTGTCGTTATTCATAGTTTTCGTAGTTGTTGAGGGAGAAATTGGGGTTTAGAGATACAAGGCCCAATTCAATCGAGAAAGGAAGCCCGTCTCCGAAGCAGGACTTAAACCCAAAAGAAGTAAGGCCCAGACGACCTCACCGCCTTATAGGTCCGCCACGTCATCGAACCCAAGGGTAAAACCGATAAAGACTGTTAGAGTATGCCCTACCCTGCAGGGTTATAAAAGCAGGACGACCAGTCCTGTCACATCCATCGAAAAGGACGCTGACACGGCAAGGACACGGAGAGCTCGGCAAAGACACGAAGAGTTCGATAAGGAATCAGGAAGAACGACCCCGACCTCAAAAGAAAGACGATCTTGAGCCTCAAGCCCGACCTCAGGACAGTCAAGTCCCCTTCAGCTCGGAACACGGATTCCAGTTCGTCGCATGAACGACCCGAATCCATCCATCCGAAGTCCTTCGTTTTAGCTCGTCTGAAGTCATTTGTATTCTCGGCTCGCATTGTTTTGAGAGATTCTTTTTACTTCCCTAGAGAAATCCTATTTCGTACTTGTGTGATTCGTGCATCAACAGTAGTTAATTAATAGTATTCTTCATATATATCATGTGACGGCTAACCATTGTTGTTTATGACCTATGTAAAAATATTTATAAAGTCTCCATAAGGAAACTAGATGTTAAAATTGGTACTAAGATCATAAAATTGATGTCTTAAATTTGAGCTCCCACGGAAAAACCGAAGAATTTCTAGAACCGTAACATCGTGTATCCCTTGATTGATGATATATAAGAGACTAGCCACTTTATTAGATTTCATGCGATATCATAAACTAAACTATTTATCCATACATAAAATTAAAAATAGTTGCTAGTAATTTTCTAGGAAAGTAACTTCTCGTTGAATTGTCTTCTAAGAATAAACAATAAATAAATATTTTGTGGCAATTCATTTAGTGTAACGAAGGGACTTCCGACGACAGTTTCTAGTTCACATTTTGAGATAGGATAATTTGGTCTACCAACTTAAAAGACATTAAATGAATTGCTCACTGACGACTGCAAAAAAAAAGTCATCTCATCACCAAGTTTTGAAAACAGTACTCTAGTCTATACTAACAAAACTTTAAAAAGAATTCTAACTAAATTAATTATATACTACTAGGAGCAATTCAAATCAAGTAGACGAAACTCGTGATGATTGTGATCTGATCTGTCTATTGAACCGTTGGATGAATTCTTCGACTCGTTTGTTTAACTCCTCGTTGGACAATTTTGAAAACTCTTCAGATTCTTCTTTAACATTTTCCCACTTCTCCGGAATAACCATCCTTGTCGAGCAATCTGATTTCCTTCGACCATAACTTTTACGT